CCCACCTGCCTGCCTACCTACCTACCTACCTACCTACCTACCTACCTACCCACCTACCTACCTACCTACCTACCCACCCACCTACCTGCCTACCTACCTACCTACCTACCTACCTACCTGCCTGCCTTCCTTCCTACCTACCTACCTACCTACCTACCTACCTACCTACCTACCTACCTACCTTCCTTCTACATACACGTGTGTTTTTATTATACGTCTCTCGCTTCGCTTGTGTGTTTTGGTGGCAGTGTTGCCTGTTCTGGTCGACCAACTTCAGCTCCGTCGCCGAGATTCTGCGTTTCTGAGCGTTAAGACGTAACAGTTTCAGGAACTGCTGTAGAGTTTAGGGATGCGGAGCTTGAAAGCTCAATCCTTAGGCCTAAAATCCGAAGCCCGAAGCCCTATGTATGTTGAGGCGTAAACCCTCTGTTCAACTTTGGGCTTAGGGTGTTGGGTTTAGGGTTTCGGATTTTTGTTCGCCGGGCCACAAAAAGGTAACCTGGAAGTTCCCAGTTCTCCAGAGCCTCAATCGTCCGAATTCACGACTCTAAATCCATTTAATTCCGAAACCCGAGTACCTAACATCCTCTAAACACCGAAACACTAAATCCTTCACCCTTCCTCCCAAAGTCAACATCTTTGCCTGAACCTTAGGATCCCTAGCCGACAATAGTCTGAATCCCGTCACCTTTGCCATGAATCTTGCCTACCTCTTTCGAGTCAATCCCTTGCTAAAACCTTAACTTAGGGGTACTTAGAAATAGGTTTTCATCTTTGGCTATTATAAACCCTAAGAAGCAGCTACATTTATAATTTTTGCTAGGGGTCTAAGTTCAGTATAGTTAAAATCCCTCAATCTTAGGCCCCGAGCCCCCAAAACCTTTCGCCCCCAAGCCCTGAACTCCCCGCCATAGACTCCTAAGCCCCTAAAGCAGTCCTAAACCCCTAAACCCTAAACCCTAAACCTTAAAACCCTAAACCCTATGCCNNTAAACCCTAAAGCCCTAAAACCCTTTCTCGGAAGGCGGCTCCCTGGGGGCGGGGCCCATGGTCGACATCAAGCGCCGAGTAGGGGCCCGATGCTGTTGAACACTTGGATAGGGTTTCAGGGTTTCAGGGTTTAGGGTTTAGGGTTTAGGGTTTTAGGGTTTAGGGTTTCAGGGTTTAGGGTCTCAGGGTTTCAGGGTTT